TAGTCAACATTGTCTCGCGAAGTACTTCCAACCGCTACGTCTGCGCGTCTGGTTGGATGAGCCCCATTCCTGATTCGTTCCTTAGCCGAGGACCTCTTTGTACCACCTTCCATCACAATATCACAATAGCAGTTTACACATATCGCATGAATTCGCATCACTCGCGTATATACATTGATATGCACATCATTTCCCCTCTAACTTATTCCTATTATGTGTGTCTCCTCTCCGTACACTTGATCCATTCTACCAGTTCCCGGTCAAGTGGGAGCTTTGGAAAGAAACAATCCGGTTGGCGCCACCGATTCCCAAAGATGCCACATTTCATGAGATTATTGTACCAACTGTGGAAACAGTCCGGTGTTATCAGCTGTTGGAATTGTTTGTGTTGAATTGCAAGCCTTGTCTATTTGTCGGGCCAACAGGCACAGGAAAATCATGCTATATCCTGGTAAGTCCACGGCCAGTGAGGAGTGAGTGATACTGTCATCTTTTCGTTTCGTGATTAACATTACGGAAACTAGAACATAAAGCATAAAATACTGTTTGGAATGGTTTTTACTCGCTCTCTGGGTTTTACTGTACCTTTTTGTACAGCTTGTTGCGCCATTGTTTGAGCCCTTTATGAGGTTCGATCAGTACAGTTGCATCTTACCATTGTCGCTCATTGCAATAAGCGTCACTCCTCTGAAAAAGTCAGTGTGACTCGTGACACCTATAAATAATTTTCCTTGTTCCACTTCCTCATCCTACAGGATAGATAAAGAATAATTGTACTATCGCTGATTGATATACCCGGGTAAAACACAGTGAAAAGGCTTATCGGGACAAAGATAACGTAGCGGACAACGAGAGCTTTAATGAGAAGCCGAGTTACTAAATTGTTTCATTAGTGTGCTAGGAACGGGAGCGAAATTCAGCCAGATGACTATCGAACGAGAATGGTCTTAAAGAATCAGATCAGCCGTTAAAGCACGAATCAGACGATCAATCAGCCAACGTTTCGATTAACACGACTTTCGGTAATCAGGTTGAGCAATACCGATTGATCAAGACTGTAAATAAATTGCCAAGCTCAGTGAACAGGCCAAACGGAATTCAATTCACCCGAGCTACGAGAGCCGATTTTCAATATTTTGTCTACATCCACCAGAACCCTGGATCGCCCATTAGGAGTTTAATCGAAACATGATATTGCAAGTTTACACAAACAACTCATTCCTATTTTTTATTACGTGATCCGCGCACCAGAAGCTTGAGGAGCCAGATGAAGCCCCAATCTGGTCTAATTTATCGCATCACGTATCACATTCCAATCAGCAATGAGTGTGGCAAATTTGACATTCAAAGGGATTTATTATTTAATTTTGGTGATTAATAACCTTCCCGGGAACCGGTAAGATGAAGCATAATACCTCAATCGCACAAGATTAGTACGGGTCTAGACGGCAACGAAACTATGCGCTGACGCAGAAGGGTTGCTGAATGGTCTAGTAAGAACACAGGTTAACGAGATCTGTATTGGTATGGGCAACCTAAACCAGAGTCAGCTGGGCAGCAGGTTACATGTTTCACGGAATCAAACCACGTGGTCTGTAGGCCAAGACTAATTAACTGACCGAAGGACAGATAAATGCATATGCAGCTGCTGCCATTTATTTTTTTTAGTCTTTTTGTTTTATTTCCTATTTATTGAATATATAACAATACAAATGCGACGGAAATATTGGTGATGACCGACAATGAGCACTGGACAGCTGTTTCGACCTGTTTGGGACTCGTGAACAGTGCGTACTTTTTGTGTCCCTGTCAGGACTCGGACCGCGAACATTCGGATTAGAACTTCAACCCCATACTCTCCACTATGGGAAAGTGCCAGTGTTTTCTCGGTGTGACTGGACCCGTGGAATCCAGGAGAACGGACAGAATGTTGCAATCTGATTGATCTACTCCCCACTCGATGCTCCCGTATTTTCCATTTCTGAAGAAAATAGACTGCGCAACTGAATAGTGTTGGAATAGTGTTTTGACTGGAATCATTGGGGAATTCATGATGGGGCAAGATCCGGTAGTAGACTGGCAGAAACAACAGCCTCTCATGATAATAAATAAACTGTACGGAGTTGAGAAGCCACCATTGTACCCTTTCGTCTTGTCCAGAGGCACTCTTTCTGTGCCTTGAGCAGTTGGAGATGTAATTTAACATATCTTGGTTCACTGAACCCAATTTAATATCCCCTCTCTGATATCAGCATTTACATGCTTCTTTTCTCCCTCCATTGTACATAAATTATCGTGTTTTAGGACTTCTTGTTGAACAAATTGGCCAAAGATGTGTACAAACCAAACAATTTGAACTTTTCCGCTCAAACCAGCGCAAATCAGACACAGAATATCATCCTGTCCAAATTGGATCGACGTCGCAAAGGTGTATTCGGTCCACCAATGGGCAAAAAGATGATCGTATTTGTGGACGATTTGAACATGCCGGTCCGAGAAACTTACGGTGCACAGCCTCCGATTGAACTGCTTCGGCAGTGGTTGGATCATTGGAATTGGTAAGCGGAGTTGCGGGNGGGGGGAGGGGGTTGCAAAGATAGAATGCGGAACAAGTGGCATCCACAAATGTTAAACGTTTATTTAGGTCAGAAAGACAGAACAGATTCTGGTTTACATCATGTTTCAAATAGATCATGGTGAAAACAGCATCATGAAGGTTGTGCATGAGTTGTCCATGTGTACCCTGAGGACGGTCACTCAAGTCAAAGCAGAAAACGTTTAAGGGCTCATAGCAGGAGATCGCAAGGTGGCAGGATGATGTGTAAAGACGTCAGTTCATCGAAAATCTTTGCCTTATTAGACAGCTCTTACGCATATAAGACACAATTCACAAGTACAAAGTTTGAAATATACCATTTCAACCGTTTGGGCTGTCAACCTTTGTCATCAGTGTCTTGGAGAATAGGTGGACAGGGAAGTATAAAGAGATGAAGAAGACTGTGGCTATTGGTAGCAGCCACAATCTTTTTCCTTTAATCCGGAGTATCAGATAAAAGAAAACGGGCGTAAGTGAGGCAATTAAGGAATCTGACGGCTCAGTGATACATACTCGGCTGCACCATGTTCAGTAATGGGCAGAACATTTCAATGCATAGTTAATCTGCCCCCGTCGACACAAGACCTCCCCCTACCCGTTTCAATCGGGCACATCCTGCCAGTTCACATCAGTCCTCCATCTGAAATGGGGGTTACCACGGAAGTAAAGGTGTAAGGCTTCCGGCCCAAATAGGCTGTTACCATCGGTTTTTAAGGATGGAGGTTCCGCCTTGGTTTTGGAGTTAACAAAACTCCTGGGCTCACTGTAGGAAAGGGAACAGGTTCTAAGTGAATGGTGTGAAACGGTCATCATACCGATTTACAAGAAGGCTGATAGAT